GTTTAGAACATAAAGATGAACCACATATATCTTAATCTGACGCGCTTGAGTATTTCAAAATTGCGATTTTTTTTGCAAATTATGAAAATGGCTGTGGGTTTGCGTCCCATCGAAATCGTCAGATTAGTGAATGAGAGCTTTTTTTGGTGCACTTAACACTCCCTTAGAAAATCTGACGCGCTCGATAAAATTATTTTTTTTTCATTTTCAACCCTTAAATACAACCACCCGCATCATGCAAACGATCAGATTAACATACGTACATTATTAAAAATACGTAGGGCATAGATGCTATCAATATCTGACGCGCTCGAGGATGTCCATGCAACAGTTTTTTTTACATATTTAACTATCTATAGCCGCTTCCCCCACCGATGAAAAGGAATTTATCATATAACATTTTTTTCTTCTTATTATCTAAGCTTTGCATCCCAATAGGTCTCTACGACGCTCGAGTAAATCCCCATTTAGCATCGTGGGCTCCCCTACCATAATATACGGGTCAAAAACTGTCATAACTGACAATTTAACATTTGAGTTGGGCAATTCAACATGACATTAAACTTTTTTAATTTTATTGGTACATCCTTCATACAAGTTGATTAGATTATTATAGTGAGTGTTTGAACTTTGAGTCTTAGTTGTCTCACGAGAATCAATTACCACAGACGTATTCAACATAAAAGTTAGTACGGCTACCTAAGGGTAATATTCAGAAACGCGATTTATCGCGAACTATATTTATCAAAGCAGAGCAGTGTTGGCCTAGTGGCTTCATCGTGCGACTCTCAAACCTGAGGTCGTAGGTTCTATCCCCGGCTGTGCACCAATGGAATTTCTTTCTATGTGCGCATTTAACATTTGCTCGAACGGTGAAAGAAAACATCGTGAAGAAACCGACATGTATGAGACCCAAAAAGTCGACGGAGTGTGTCTCTGGAGGCTGATCACCTACTTGCCTATTAGATTTGAAAATGATCATTTCGTATTTATTTATTTCGTAATCCTACAGCTAACATAAATTATATATAATAACAAACAGATACACTGAAAATATAGCCAGAGATGGAATACATAATACATTTTACTACAAAAAGGTTAAAAAATTTACAGAATCAAACAAACAACAAAAAAAAATTATTCAATACATTCAACTAAATAATACCTAATTTGGCTGTGTTGTGTGATGGTGTAAGAGTGAGTGTAAGTACGTGAAGGTGTGTATGTGGGGTATGCTCATGATGCAGGTGATTTTGCGCTATGGATATTCTTAATACTCCTTTTAATCATATTCCACGACAGCTTAAACAGGTCAAGGCTTAAATATTGGTCGTTGTATGTCCGGGCTGCGCGATATAAAACTGAGTTTTTTGCATAGTTAGTGTTAATGTGAGGAACATGAAACAAAGCACGATTACGAGTCTGGTAGGCAGGAACAATCATGAAACAGATTCATAAATCTGAGGCCAAGATCTAAAGAGGTTGTAGCGCCACTGATTTATTTATATTTATCAAAGTCCAGTACATTTTTAACGTCTCAAAGTCTAACTTAGTTCCTTGTATTTTAATATTTATTACGAAAATTAAAGGTAACTATCGCATTTGTTGCCATAGTTATGTTAACCATACGGACACTGTTATATCTTAGACCACGTTTTTAGACGGTTAGACCGAATTTATAAATCGCGAACTCACAATGGTTATTTCGATCACATTTAAACCCTAAGCATCAAAGCTTAGCTGTGGCAAAAAGCATATAACATGTTTAAATATAATACCAGCGGTTGTCAGTTGGCCAGGACAATAAGGCGAGAACATAACAGCGTTGACGTCAAATGTAAAAGCACTAGTGCGTAGAAGAATTCTATGCCGTTTCCAATTCCATATAGTCAAGTTATAATCCGGTTCTTTTCCCACCGATGCCAAAAGTTCTCCATCAGGACTGAAATCATTTTGATAGACTTTATAAAGGTTCGCAATGCAATTCTTTTTAGTTATAGAATTTCCTGTCTTTACTAAAGATTGAGGTCTTCTACAACCCGTTTTTAAATATAAACCTAAAATAAACAAACAAACGAAATGAGAATATAATAATAAACAAGGCTTTTACAATATTTCTAACGAAAATTAAGCAAACTTAATAATAAATTGAAATATTTTTGTTCAAAAGTATCTCTAAGGTTGGTAGAGTTTGGTGATTTTGTGACTTATTCACTGATAATCACCAAATCACGTGCAGCGAATGAAAGTATCGTCAATATTTTTATGAAAACCACGGCTTTTCCTTTGACTTAAAGAAATAACGAACAATGAAATATAAAAAAAACTGGATTCCTACAAGCCTTTATAAGTATAAATATTATAGTTTCAAAAGCTACCTTACCTAAAGTCAAGAATAGAATATGCATTGCTTGTTCCATCACGTAGAACGGCATCAATTTCCATTTGTGGCCACGTGTACATCAAAATAAGAGGATCTCTGTGTCCCTCCTTTCCTTCAGCGATTGCTATTCGATAATTCGGGTCTTTCCTGTATGACTGAAAATTTTCCAAAAGCTTATCATCAAGTAAGATTTTAGACCTAGTTAGTGGCCACGTGCCACTTTCAAGTCTGAAGCCCTATTTTCTTTCGGCAGCAACTGGCTCTCTATGAGCGCATTTAACAGTCGCTCGTACGGACTTAAAAAATCGACTATATGTATGCACAGGCTAATCACCTACTTGTCTATTAGAAGAGGACCAAACACGAAACAGATATAGAAATCGTAGCGTAGACCTAAAAAAGTTATAACGCTTCTGTTCTTTTTATTATCAGGTTTTCACTCATTAACATTTAAAAATCGAACTTGTCGTTTATTATGTTACTCTTACTTAAGACTTTCTTCTTTTCTATTTTAGTTCTTTGTCAATGTAATTGGAAGCTTATAAATTCCTAACGCCACTAGATTATTCCTACCACAATATTTCCAACGGATCCGCCAGTGGTGCTCCGACGAAACCATGTCTGTTTGGTGTTAACATCCATGAACGTTATAATGCTGCCCGCAGACCAGCATACAACAGAATCATCGCATGCGCACAAGTTGAAGTATTTATGGCAGTTATAACCATAGGAATGTCTGGATGGTGCTCAAGAAAATATTGCTGAAAAGGGTCATTTATGTTCGTGATTCGCGGCCTTTGTTGTAGTTTATTTTAAATAACAGTAGCTTAAGACCAGCCCCGGTACTCTAAAACTTCCAATAGCGATAGGGATACAAATCTATACGATTTTTCGAGTAGCTCTGAATTAGCAACGTAAAATTGCGCGGCACAAAAACTCAATTGTAGGATTCGCAACCTATCGCTTTTGCCAGTTATCGGCACTAATTAAAAATTATTTATCAAATATTAGTTACTATGCCAAAACTATCGTATAAAAATGGATTTTCATGGATGGATTCAGAGACTTTAGAGATTCAAAATATTGGCTTTGAACACCTTGTCTTAATTTACAATATAATCAAAAAAATCACAATCACGAGTATTAGTGAAGAGTGCGTATAATGAGCGTGCTTGCGCGTAGTGCGTGCGTAGCCCACTGAGAAATACTAAATTTGAAACACCCTACGTCTTTCAATTGTTCTACCAACAAGGATACTCAAATTCAAATAAGTCGTCAGGTAAAGTAGCATCGAGGCTAGTAACAGCACCGGATATAAAGTCATCAGGGTCATATTCAGTTAAAATTGACTCTTCTTCTACTGCTTCCTCTTCCACTTCCTCTATAAGAGCTTCTTCGTCGGCCTCTTCTTCTTCTTCTACGATTAAAACGATACTATTTTTAGTAAAAATTAAACATCTAATGTAAACGTATTTTTCCATTTTCACTGGGTTGTTTTACAAGATTTAAAAACTAGTCCACTGCGTACGTGTTTACAAGCATGGATCGCTTTCATAGTGGCGGTGCGACGAGATGTTGCCTCTGAGAAGCGTTTTGGCGGGTTTTTGAAATTATAAATGTTTAATTTGAATTTTTAAAGGTTCACAAAATAAAGATAACAATCTTTATAGATTATATAGTCAGTAATAAACTTTCTGAAATGATTTTTAAAATCTTGTCAAATAGCCTATAGTGAGTACCTAATCAACAAGTCTTCATCTGTAGGACTTTTCTATTATTCTTACCTTCTCCATGTTCACCCTTGTGGTCCTCATCATCAGCCATATTATTATAATATTGTGGGTATACAAATAATCAATTGAAATTACATTACGAATCCATCGCCAATGTTAAGAGTCTATTATCATATTAACAAAATTATTCGTTGCTAGGATACCTGCAGAGTATAGACAATAGCAAATAATAATATTTAGATGCGAATCAAAAGTTACCTACCTTTTGTTAAAGATTTTTTAAATATGTGTGTGACCATAGTATAGTATTCAATAGTATTTCAATAATCAATGTAACATTAGACTTAGAGCATTTTATATTTAAACACTGTTAGATAGACCAATGGAAAAATAAGAATTACCAATACCATTAAAATAAATTAGTCTGTTGTACTCACGTATTACCTTTATCTATATAGACTTTTGGTATGATATACTTGACGCTCAGTTTGGCTTAAAGGTCTCGCCATAAAATTATTAAAAAAAAAAAAAACTTGACACTCAGATCAGACAAAGGTACGTCATTATTATTATGACAGTTGGCACTTAACAGATAACAGATTGATCATTGGTGTCTGGTGATATTTGTCGTCTGCCGTTTGGAATTTGGATGTGATTAATCATTATTCAAACCAAAATAATAATATTATGATTAAATCGTACAACTTTGACGTAGAAAAACTTGATAAATCTATTATACTACTGTATTTCATAATTATAAGTAGTTAAGGAGAATTTTCACATTTTAACTTGTTAGTAACTGGTGAGCTAAGACAGTTGATTTTCTCCATTTTCAAGGATTTGAAAGTTATTTGGACTTTAGACTTATTACCATTATAGGAAACATGGCTCAACCTCACAGGAAGGCTGTATTAAATCTTTACAAAACGGTAAGATTATGTTCATCAATGCTAGATTTTCTTATTAAATTAAACATCAATTAATACTATTAAAATATTTCGTTTGCAGCTGTTGTACATGGGACGTGATTGGCCTCAGGGTTATGACCTCTTTAGAAAACGGTTACATAAAGTATTCTCAAAAAATAGTGAAGAATCAGATCCAAACAAAGTCGCCACTATGATTAAACATGGAGATTTTGTAGTTAAAGAAATTGAAGCTCTGTATAAATTAAAAAAATATAGAACATTAAAGCGAAGATATTATGATGACAATTGAAAGTCCACTGTTTTGTATTAGGTATGAATTTTTTATAATTATGGTGCTATTTCAGATATAAGTATAATGTTATATAATATGTAGCAATTAAAATGACATTGAACATGTTCATATTCCAACAATAAATGTTACTGCTATCATTGTTCTATACTTATTTCTTTATGTACATATTTGAATGTTTTAGGAAATGAAACAAATATTTTTTTTATAGTTTAGGGAAAAATTATATTTTATAATAGTTACATAGCAGATAATAATGATAATATTGTCATTTTAAACTACCTAAATTCCCTACAAAGACCAATATAAATTTTAAAAATATTTGTGTTTTTGTCAATTTGTTATCTTTCTTAGCAAAAACTAACAGAAGATAAAAGTAAATGTATGCCTCCTCATATTTCAAGCAGTCATATTCAAGCATTGCATTCATTGTATGAATGAAAATGACTGCCAATAGAAATTATCTTTTGACATGACTCTACACAATCAGAGTTTCAAAGATTTTTATCATATAAAAACAAAAATGTTTTCTCTTATCAGGCTTTACTTTAAAACAAATAAGAGCTGTTTATTTAATAAAATGTTTTTAATATTTATTGAAAGAGGCTTAAAATATAGATATTTTTATCGCAAGATTATTTCGACTTTGTAAAACTTTTATCTTAATTTGCGATTATTATAAGAATTAGTTTTGGAATCATAAATATTCCATCAATACACAAATATTGGACAACTATGAAAAATTAGGGGCCTCATCTTTTGGGATTTTCTTATAATACTGAAAGTGCAAAGTATATTTTATTAACATATCTATATTTATTGGTAAATACAGAACTTGAACCCACATCTCTACATTTTTCGTGTTGGTGCTCCTCTACATCCATTAAGCCCGACTTTTGTACCTACTTCCTATTATTATGTGTTCGTAAAATTCAACATGTGATTACATTATATACATGATAACACAAATTTGAGATCAACAACAGTCAAGCACATAATAGCTAATCAGGTATATTTAATAGAATAATTAATATTCCATAAATAATTTTATTGTTCATCTAATTAACACACTATTAAGAAATACAGTAAATAAAATGGGTATTTGAATTACAACATAATTAAAGCTTGCTTTTTACAGGCGATAAATATCTAGAATTTTCTTAAAAATTTTGGTTAAGGGAATGACAAAAATAATTTAACAATTGCAACATTCAATAAATAGGTAGATTAATTTCTAGATTATTATCAAGTGATAGTATATTATTGAAGTAGTTTTAAACGCTGATGATACATTTTCAATTTAGCAGCAATTCTTATTTTAAAAATTGTTTTTACAAACTCTACTTCGATAAGTTTAGGTATGCCTAACATATTTGTATAATACATTTTCTTAACTCTACAAATTCGAAAACAAAATTACAAGGTATCCAAATATAATAAGAAAAAGTTTGGTTCCTATTGTGAAATTATAATTGCTAGGCCATTGTTCCTCACAAGAAAGAGTGTTGAATTGTAAATAAATTTGTGAAAAGTTTATATGTGAAGCATTTCCTACATAGATATAGTTACAATAATATCTATAAATACTCTCTTCTCAAGAGGAACACGTCGATTACAATTAAAGGTTTATACATAATGACTAATAACACTTATATTTTTAGTAAAATAGAATGTAATAAATTTAACAGGATTCAACTTATTTACATAGTTTTTTGTTTATAATGCAGTAAGAAGTTCGTACAAGGGCGCTAATGATATCGCATTTATCAAAATCAAAAATTCAAAGCACACCTCAATTAATATGAACATTGAAATACATCTTACTGTAATATTGAGGAACCTATAAAGTAAAACTGATTTACTTGAGAATCCTTCAGTCGACACAAGGGTTTTTATCTAGATATGAATTTTTGTGATTTATATTCGTCGTAGGTTTTCTAATGATTAACATAGTAAATATCATAAATCCTATGTGGATTGAAAATTCACACAATTTCCCAATAAAAAAAAATGTTATCGTACGTGAACATTGATAACAAACTGTATAAATAAACTACTCTGCTATTTAAATATGTATCTACTACAACAAAGGATATAAGATAAAAATATATGATTGTTTATGACGATTTTCGCGTTGTTTATTTTCTCTCGTAGTTCACCGAATTGCGATTCTGAAAAATACGAATAATTTATTACTAGTTGAGAATGAGTTACGTAATATAGAATTACGTTGGGGGCATGGGAAGCGGAAAGGAGACCTTTGCTAGATGCACTCCAGGGCGAGGACGCAATACTGCCAAACGTAATTAAAGCCAATAGCTTTGATTACTTTGGCAGCGCAGGAAATGACGGCTCGTGGAAAATCTTCTACAATTTCTGCGAGTCATGAAAGTCAAAGAAGAAGCGGAAAGGACCAGGGAGCTTTGCACCGGAACCCATTCGCGGCGGCGAAAGAAACCGCAGGCCCGTCAAATCCTCGCCACCTAAAGAGTGGACAAGCGGGGAAGCAGTGGTCCATGCGTTCAAAAGAAGGGATGGTGATCCATCCCTGCAAGCACTAGACCCGATCTCCCCTAGCTATTCCTAAAAGCGTATGGCCCGATCTATGAAGGATACTTGCTGTGTCAAAATCAAGCAACAAATCAACATCGCATGTCGGGAAGCGGATAGGGCTCTGCTGTTACCGCATCCCGCCTAAGGCGATTTTTGGTGGCGCCTTGGGATTTTGTGGGTATGCACAATCGCGAGTCCCACATAACCCTCCCGCACTAAGCAAACGCACCGTGGTAGGGTATGCGCAATGCATTTCCCCAAGTAAAAAATAAATAAATATAGAATTACCAATCGGACCACAATTTAATAAAATAGAGAATAACACGATACGACAGACAATGCAATAAATACGTATTAGAAGTCAGGCGCTTCAGGCATTTTTAAAATTTTAAAAATGCATAGTACCTATCGGATTTTTTATGATGCGATGAAGGGTCAAATACCGGATGAAAAGTAATGAGTCCAATATCTCCAGTTTGTAGATGATGGGGATAATATTATTTATATATTTAGAGCATATTTTGTAGAAAAATTAAATAATTAGGAAGCAACAACCTTATCGCTAAGAATCTATCCACGTAATTTTGGTAAGTAAACGTTATAACGAGATGAATCGGGGAATATGCAAGAAGTACAAATCCTAGGTAGGTATTATTTAAAAATATATGATATAGAGTATAGACAGTTACTAGTATTTCTAATCTTACACATAGATATATATATTTATACGTGAATATAATTACATGAACGATTTTGGCAATAGCTATTATATCCAAAAATATATTCCGTACCTCTCGACTCCTTAATCTTTCTTCTCTCCATCTTCGGGGTCCTTCAGGGTGTGCCACTGGGCGATAGGACGTCGCGGGCTCGCCAACATGTCGGACCAATGGCGGAGCTCTGTGCCGGACGCGTTGTATCCCAACACGACTTTACCGATAGGTTCCGATGTTCCAATACGGTCGTAGTCCACAACAGTTACTACTAGGTTTACTTTCTGTTGAAATATGGAATCAAACAAACTGTAAGTAAGTATTGATTTTAGTTTTTAAGAAGAAATCAAATTTAACTTATGATGATTTTAGTGTGATATTGTAAAAAGATGTATTCTTTAGCATACCTAGTTTTTGTATTCAAAAGTGTTACCTTGCTACAAATATCACCCTCTTGTATAACCAATCTAATGACCAAAAGACTTACGTGTTGTACCTTTGTTTGGAAAAGGATTGTAGGACCGTGTCATCATTGAAATTCACCCATTTAGAGTGAAAATCAATGTATTTGCCTTTGAAGTACCTAACTATTCAGTTGTAATGTTTAATGCGATGTATCGGTATAGTGACTAGTGCCTATATACCAAAACGACAAGCTTGTGTCTCCCATTTAATGGGCCAAGTGATCTGTACCTGTTCTACTTACTTGAATTCTTTGTATACTAAATTTTGTACTTACCGCTGTCAATGCTTCAAATAAACTTATAGCAAATCATCGCAAAATAGAAATGAAAATGATTTCATGACATTTAATGCAGTTACGAGGGGAGATTACAAACACCACTTAATTCAACAATATCCATCAAAACAAAGCACTGTAGAGTATTCCGTTGGAATGAAAATCTCTAACTGTGACATTGTCACGGTTAAAGGTCAGCATCTAACATTGAATACTTTATAGGCATTATTTCAAATAAATACTGTAATGGAAAGGAAAAAGCAAAGTTGGAACAAATAGGAGATAAAAAATAACACCGAAGGAAAGAAAAGTTGACTGCAGACACTTGCAGATTGGAAAGCAGTAAACGACAGACATCAAGGAAAAGTTGCAACAACATCTAACATTCAGGAGACATTTGAAGATCAAGAAAGCGGTAGGATCGGATGCAGGATAGTAAAGGAAGTGGTGTACAATCATTACAACACCAATATTTTCACATATAATCAAGAGCGACTATTGGAGAATTAACACAATCCAAAATAACTTGACAAAACTGAACTTTTGCAAGTAATAAAGGATCTTCTCTAAACTGAAGCTCTCGATGTATGCCACAACATCAAATTTTGTGTCAATCTCGGCTCGTACCTGTATTTGCTCGAATGGTACTTCAAAAGTAAATGACTCGTTGTAATAAGGATTCAATGTACACTTCTTGATGCTCGTTTTCTTCTTTTTGAGCCGTTTCCCGTTTTGCATTAGAGCTATCTTTACGTACGGATCTGTTGTCACCGACAGGAGCAGATATGAAAAAGATAAAGAAATTATTTAGTTCATCTATAAAGACTATGCTACGAAAGCTATACAATTAAGCTTTACAAATCTACAATATACCTGAGAATGGTATAAAATTATTGATGTACCTACTAACTACTTTGAAATGGTTAAATGGGAAATGCATTTCATGGACTGTTATAAAGTGTGACAATCACAATTTTAAAGGTGTTATTAATTCGCATTACACCTAAAATATAATTGTGACATGAAAAGTAACAGTTTTAAGTATGAAATATGATTATAAACAAAATTATACAAATAGAAATCTGGCGACATTTTCACGTAGGTAGATTCTATTTTTTATGCATGTTTTTTGTATGAGCTACTAACTCGAATAAAAAATAACTTCAAAAATAATTTTACCTATTAAATCCTGAAAAAGACGAATTTTATTTGAGACAGGTTAAAATAATTATCTTTGATATTTCTCTTACCTGAGAGCCCACCGACATCCATTTTCTTGAGGTTTTTGGCTTCCAAGATGACCACGGTAAGTTTTCCAGCAGTTGGTACATATCTCAACGAGAAACATATATCTCCCAACTTGTTATCCTGTAACCCACATGTATTTACCAATATATCATAGGAAAAAGAAACTAAAAACTAAATAAAATAAATCGCTTAATTATAACGTTTTTATTTGTTGTGTGTTATCGTTGTCAAAATTAGGGGTTTTGGTTCGTGAGCAATATGAAAGACTGTTAGGATAATTTTGTGTAAGGAATATAATTTTTGATACACGGATTTAAAAAGCTATTGTAAAATATAATACGGGCCATTAAATCGCGGCTTAGGGCGGATAAGGGTAACAAACATTTCTTTAAACCAAAGAAAAAGAAACAAAATTTTAGCACCGTGTGGTCCTAGTGAAGCATTGTTATGGGTTTTAGGATAACCAACAAAGTTCATCAAGTATTGCTATATATATCACAAAATTGCGCACTTGATGAACAATGTCGAGAGTGCATTAGATGCCACAGACCATAGTTTGTAAAGGGCTCAAACGGATTTTGCATCTATGAGGATAATAAACATTTATTTCGGCAATATTCCCATTGCGTTACGTATAACGTTTTAGCATAAACTCATCTAAACATTGAATAACACAAGACTATGTCAAAAACGTTCACAACAAACCAATCTAAGTTTAAGCACACATCCTGGCTGAAACTTGATTACGATCTGTTGCCGAAATGATGCCAATTAGCGTGACACCCAGCTCAAATCATAAACTTACCCTCGCTCTTGTATGGTATTCATGAAATTGTAAAAATACCTGACATCCGGATTGCCATTTTAGAAACAGATCGCAATTATCTATTGGATAACGTGTGATTATATAGCAATAAATAAAGAATGGCTAAACCACTAAAGAATTCAGCGTCTGTTCACTTCTGGACTACTTCATATTACCGTCTAATAGTTTACTTTTAAACGAAGAACAAATACACTAATTTCTTTAGTGTGTGATAAATATACATAAAACATACTTACACAGATTTCACATATAAATGCAACATAGACCATCGCACTATAAACATATAATATTGCATTATTAAACAAATGCTATTACTACATGTGCGGTACTATAATAAATTTGATTAAAATGAGCGGCAATAATAAACGATCTCCTTTATGTATCCATAGACAATAAAAAAATTCGCTAAAAAAGTTGTTACTTGACCGCTAGCTGAATTGCGCATAGGTTAATAATTTCTCAATAAATAGTATTATTATTAGTTGTAAAGCTTTTAATGCGAGTATTATTAAATTTTTTATTATAGCATTTATCTCAAAAGCTATTTTAAATGGTTTTATTAAGCTCATTATATCTGTGACTATAAGAACACGAGACATACATACGTGCTGGCGTGTTCACATAAGCTGACGACAGTGGGATATTTCCCCGAATTATCAATTTATGAGTCAAAATACGTTATAGGTTTCATTATGGAATATTATATATTATATTGACAGGTTTTGGAGTCTTAGCTAGCAGACTTATACTGAATATAATAAGTCGTCTATATATACAATTAATCTTTATATAGATTATAGTAAAACATCAGTCTCGAAAATGATAATTCAGAGCCATATACTTATTATTATTATTAGACAGTGATGACATTCATGCAACATTCCCCAGCCGCAATACTTAAAATAAATAAAGTGTTGGATGGATCAAATAAAATATAAAAACTGAAAATAAATATGGTTTGATGGGTGATGATAGGTTAGGTGATGAAACTTATATAATATTCCTTTAAATCCCTAGCTGATATCACAATTTACGACTTAAACTTCTTATTATTCACCAAATCATATGAAATTCTGTGTATTTATATAACTTCAATGAAACGTGTTTTTGAATTTTTCCAAAATATACATCTCGATGTGTCTCAAAATAATACTTACGTGAATGATCATTTCGTTTTGAAGCGGCATGCAAGATTGTCAGGACACAATCAAACACAGCCAAGCAGAGCAGAGAAAATATGGAGAAAAAGAGAAAAAAACCCAAGTAAATACATTTTTGCTGTCCAAATTAATTTATCAAAAAATAAATGACATTTTCATCCATTTTGAGGATGCTTGATTTTGGATAATAATGTTACGCTGTACTTACGTAATACATTAAATAATGAGTTGTAATACCAAAAAACTTAATGAACCCTGAAATTAATATATATTTAATCATACATACAAACTTGGCGGTGGTCGAAGTATATACTTTATGTTACCATCAAGGATCCTCGTAAAAAGTAAGAGTGCAGTAAATTGAAAATATCATATTCTTTCCCTTTATAAACGTTTTATTAGAAAATTTTCTTTCACGTATGGCATTTTTACGATGTTAAATAACTATTGGTATTAGATGTTCATATTTTTAAAGGGAAGAATACTAAAAATGCCGTACAAGCAAAACACATCCAATACTTACTTCAAAATAAAACCTGGATGTGATCTGCAAGTGTAGCCTAAAGCTAAGAAAAAATATAAAATAGTTTTCTCAGTACAGTCCGCGTACCTATCGCCTTGTTTGAGGTACCATAACTATAAGTGCAATATGAATGTTATGTACGTATGTACCTCCATACATAGTACCTACATGGCAATGTGTGTAAGCCAAAATGAACTGTTGATGTGACCTGGGTGTAACTCAACTGTATAATTGTTTACATTTTTGTAATTTCAACATACCTTTGCACTTATTTTGCCATTTAATGTTATGGCGTATTTAAACATCTGCATTTTATTCAAAATTCCAAAGTATAAAAAGTACTTAAAATTGGATGATACCTGTTCTGTTGTATAAAATAGTATTAATACGTTCTAAGGAAGAGGTTATCTGAGTTTTATTTGAAGTCGGAACCGCACCTGTCCGCCCTCGCCTTCCACACTCTGCAACTCACGCCATTCTTCAATAGTCTGGGCAAGATCCACCTGGCATAGAGGTACCTTCACCTCACCGATCTGGTCGTGCTTGGAGAAACGATCGAAGTCGAAGATCGCGAATACCAGTGTCTTGTTCATAGCATCAGCGTAAGGAACGTTCTGTGTACAAATGGTCATCAAATGTGCTCATATCAACTGCTAAGTTTATGTAAATGCCAGTTCATTTGACAGTAATCTTACCTTAAATACAAAAGTTTCGTTGAAGACAGGACTGAGCGTTTTTCGATGCACTTTAGTTTCGAACTTCTTCTTCTTATCAGGTAGAAGATATACTTTTACATACGGATCAGATGTTCCACCCATGTCTAAAGCCGGCAATTCTTCAGCTTGAATTACTGTTACCGACAAGCTGTTACTGTTAAAGTCATACTCCAACTGGAAAGCAACGTGATGATGAAATAACATGTGATACAAAATGTAATCAGTATGGAGTGAGGAACATAATTAAACTTAAAACTGAAAATGCAAAAAAACTATTGAAAACAATTCGGATACAGAAAATGAAACTCGATGATGTCTAATGTAAGCTAAAATGAACCGGTAAATATGATCTGTATGCAGTTTTGAACAACATATTTAGACCATTAAGTTTCATCCTCCAGGTTGGCCCGACAGTTTCTTCATTACCTACCTTATATTGAACTTTTCCAAGTTTTATTTCTTCTTTCTTTTCTTCACCTTCATCAGGTTCCTCTGCATTCTCCGTTAGCTCTTCCATGTCCGGCTGCACCTACATGCACGTCCCGCGGCAAATTTCACATGAATATAGGATTTCTTATTAATAAAGGTGAGTGTCAAAGTGACGGCAAACTTGATATAGAAAATTTACCAAGGGAATTCCCCAAATCTATCAGTTCAATATACGAACTTTCCACAAAGATACCTACTTGTTTTGAATTAAATGGAGTGGATGCAATTTAAACGAACACAATACCTTTTCCTTATAAGCAGAACCGAGGAGCTGGACGGACTTGAAATCGACTCCCTTCATTCCCTTCTTGCCATCCTTGGAGCGTCTCTTGCGGCAACACCGCCGTATGCAACAGAAGCATACTCCCAAAACCACCACCCCTACCCCTGTGATGGATTTGTAAATTTAAGAGTTAGACACGGCGTTCTTTTATACGTGATGTAGGTACTCAATCTTTGCATTATAAAAATGCCTGCGGAATCAAATTGCATCTGCTTTCTATAATTTGTAGGTATTTATCGCTGATGAGCGGTCAACTGTGCCTGAAGATTGACGATTTTTAAATCTTCGACAAAACGTCATTTTTGATGGTGATAATCGCAATACGAGTATTGATTACGAAGAAATCTATTGAGGCCGAAATATACACAGCCGACATTTGAACTCGTGACTATAGCGTTTAGAATCGTAGTTTTCGTAGCCTGCAAAAAATCTTTGTTCTAAGACTACTAACCGACTAGAATTGCAACCAGCTGCCATGGTTCAATATTCATCTTCCGAGCCAAATCTTCTGTTTTCTCCATTAAGCTCTCCTGTGTGGTCGTGATGATGGGAAGCTCTGGTTCTGTAGATCCCGTTAGAACTGTCATTGAGGCATTTGTTGTTCCTAAGAAAATGGACATGGAAAATATTGAAATCGTCTTTAATATCAAGTGTATCGTTTACATCCTTATTTTTTTAAACGAAAGTAGAACGTATAAACGAGTGGTATTTAGTATGACTTTATTATATGCTTATAAAATATTGACTCCATTTGAACTTGATATTAGTATCTACTCAAGTAGCATAGCATATATATTTAGAAATATGAATGAAAAGATTCTTCTTGCTCTAACGATAATATTGATCCGCTTCCCTTTAATATAAGGACACGTTATTACGGGATATTAATAGATACGCCCACACAAGCTGAACATAAATATGGTTCTATATTGTAAAATAATTTTAGTAATGATGCCCTATCTTTCAAACCTGCAGTGATTTAACTCACACCTACCAATATCAATGACGACCTGAAACCATCTTTAATAATTCAATTATAGTCTAGAATTAATCATTATATGTAATTAATTAGTTACAGAAGTCTACGGAGTCCCAGATAGGACTGTTCTCCTCTTATTTCTTGCTAATAAAATTATACAGACCTGGAGCCTGAATGGTGACAGAGGTGGAGCTGACCTCCACCTTGGGAGGGGCCTCCGCTTCCCGGCGCCATCGCAGATGCGGTGACATGGCTGGCAACAAAAGAACTTCAACTTATTTTAATTAAAAGACTATTACTATATAATGCGATGGCCACCGTATTATTATCGCGACATACAGTAAGGACAGCATCAGGAATCTCTTCGTATATGCTTCTATATTGTCTATCACATATATTTTGAGACACAAATATTTCGGTAGTGTACGGCTTAGAAGCTTTGATACGTCTTAACAGTCTCTTCTAAATGAACTACATTATATGAATGAATTATCTTTCTAAGGTTTAAAAGTATATTCAAAATCGCATGATGATTGATCAGTGTATGAGAGAGATATGCATTAGTGCCTTCGCTGCTTTATCTATTGTAGTAATTTTAAACATAAGATTTTAATGCTATGTAAATGTTTATGAGTTTTCTTAATAGCTCTTAAATTATTTTGCGTTAATATTAACAATACAAGGGATTATGCCATCCATATTTTAAATAATAATGATCAAATTAAAATTTTACATAATATATAATTACTTAATTAAAAAACGAATATGTAAACTATATCTCAGAGAATAATATAAGAGGTCATTGAAGTAATTAATTGTATGTCAAAAAAGGTAATATTAAAAACATATGAAAAATACCTAATTCTTTTAGTTTCTGGGTCATGGATATTTGAAAATCAGTCTTTGAAGTCTCGTTCAATGGCTTTGTATTTAAACATATATGATTATATATAATAAGCAGAAGAAAAGAATGCAGCCACAACTCAATAATAGAATATAATACCTAGGTACGAATCGATTGTTGCCTGCGCCAATATCAAAAATTAATACCCGTAAAAGATTCGAGAAATAACGCAGATTTCACTTCAAAAATGATTAATTAATCAAAGTACACTCCAAGCTTGGATAAAATCTGAAACATGGGTACTTAACTCGGTTTTAGGGATTAAATGAAATATGAACTGACCTTTGATATAACGTGATACTTCAGCAAATCCGAATGTTTATTCAGGCTACCACTAAGCACTATTTAGATTCATTTCCATCAAAGATTTTCGAATGGATGTTCCCGTGCTAGAAGCTGGGACGGTGATGCGCGCGCAACAGATCGATGTCGCTGCGCGGCGCAGTGCCTTCAGGCAGCTATCTCACGTTTACGTCACACATTGCGTACTTTGAAGACTTTACACCAAATGCTATTAAATACGCTGAATGAACCCTGCCTCTGTTTGCTTGCATTCAAAACGTCGAGCAAGACGAGAATTTCGATATTTAAAAAAGGCGTGCAATTCTATTAATAAATTATTTGCTTCGCTACAAAATCTATTTAGCATTCACCGACTGTAGTACAGGAACATTCATTAGAAAGGAAAGAAAGGATTCATTTCAATTACCTTTAATTATATATAGGAAATGATTCTAGAACAAAATAATTGTTATGTCGAATGAAATTATAAAATGACAGCCTTGCATGATATAGAACACTGAACTTGTAATAGAGCTACAAAATCGGGGTCAAAACTCATAACAAACCTTATATAATAGAACCTATTAAAAAGAACTCGGCTAAAGTACTGTTATTCTAAGTACGCTTCCTATCCGTCCGGGAATTTAGGCCACGGGGACTAAGGTATTCCCTCGATATAATATAGACCTATTTTTCTTTAAAGAAAATGGGTGTGAGCGGTTATTTAAGCTTTAAAGTGAAGGGAGATAACACATGAAGGACCTCGAGCGTTAAGTAGTCGTGGCGTAACATCAAAGATAAAATATTTCATATATATATTTTTAAGAAGGCTGAAACCCTAAATGAGGAAAATTTTCTGCAAAGACGATGAAACTATTGAGAAAGTGGTTTGTATAGCTATTTTCATTATTAAAATGGCGTAACCTTTTCAATAAATTGATTTATAGTCAAAGCCCACGCAAAAATTTTTAAAAACATTTCCATAACGTGTAGGTGCAACGTTCCGCCCATGCAGTGCAATATGGAACTAATATAATTAAGTAGGTTACATTTTGCGCGACACGTAAATACCTAGTAGGTACTTGACATTTTTTTTGATTATGAAAATAACTGGATTATATTAAACACAAAAAGACCTATTTCTTCCATCCAATGCAAATCAGCAGTCATAATATATTAATAAAATATACCTCCCAAGTCCCCAAATATACTTTTTGTTAAGACCTTAAGTACCGTAATATGTGCTACTGTAATCCTAGGTCGCTATTTCTTAAAGAACAACAAAATATTAGAAATAAATTATTAATTTCCTCTAAGTGAGTGGGCACATTTTCTTTTTTTCCTTTATAATAAAGCCAATCCTGAAATAGCGTAACCTCCAATAGAGTATATTTTTCAGAATTTTCTAGATCTAACTGGCGAGTTTAGAGTTACTACCAGGAACATTTACGGTATTTTCGATTAAGATAGAAGAGTTTATTTTTTTCTTGATTTGTTTAAACAAAAATAAACTAATCATTAGGATTAGTTTATGTTTTAATCCGCGACGCAAAAAGGATATATGTAATTAGTTTGTGTTTGTGGCATCGTACTAAACAAATGGATCGATTTTGTTAGAAACGTGATTGGGAAATTTTTAGCTACAATTAACGAATCGATTCAGATCCGAACAAGATCATACAAACGTGATGGATATTTGCTTTATGTTTGACCTCAGAAAATAACTGAGTGTCTTCCCCTTTATGGGGACTGTAAGTAGTGCTATTGAACATTTTCTTATGTTAAATATCCTCTTCAATTAATTAGATTTTAATTACTTATTAGTTTTAAGGTAGGCTATTTATATAGGATCGTAACATTACGATAACATAATGATAAAAATAAGGTTAGAACTAACATTTGGAACCATGTCTGCTGGTAACATTAAAAACTCTGGTGCTCCAAGCTTTTTTAAAATACATATTTATTTTTCAGAATTATTTCATTTTAATCATAAGTTGTACCATTAGAAAACCGATGTGGTTTGTATAAATGTAAGCATAACAGTCTTGTTTAGGAACGCAACATATGTAAACGCGACCCACACATTGATATAAGGTTCTAAAAGAGATTTCTCTATAGATGTCCCCTACATCTACAAAGTCATAGACTAAAGCAAAAAAATCGTCTTAAGATGGTGTTGGGAGTTGGCCTCATTCCAACTTTTTGAACAATGTCACTTATAAAATCTTGATGTTAACATGGTTTGCTCGGTGACATTTTTAAAATTAACATGCCGCGCACTTGCCTATGACATTACAACAAGAAAAATGTTCTTTAGAAAACCGGATTAGGAACTAAATTAATACGAGCGCCGATGCAAAATAGTTTGTCTAGTGTGAAATTTTCTCTGTGAGATTGTATGATCTACTGTTCTAGTATTACATGTCGCGTTACTTATGCCATTTTTTTATTATGAACCAATAAACTATTTTAGCTTTTTATTTTTATACATATCCTGTTTTAAATTCGAAGTAGTTATAATCAAAATAGTTCGTCTAATTGTTAATCGATGCAAAACAGTTTGTCTATCGGTGACTTAAATAATATTATTCCTTCTTTATACAATTATGTTGCATAATTTAAATTTGTTAAAGCAATTCTTTTGTCAAGCGAGTCAGTATAAATTCTGAAAATTTCAGTTTTTTTCATTCGTTTTCAAATAACAATGGGTCGTGGCAAACCCGTGTGTGAAGAGCTTCGAAAGCGAATAGTTTGTGGGGTCGATGCTGGCAAATCAAGTTACGAAATATCTAAAGACTTGATTCTTCCCAGGTCTACAGTCCAATCTATCATTCAGCGTATATAAAATATATATATAGACTATAGAGAGTATTTTTCATATATATTTAGCTTTTGATTCTGATTCCGCATTAAAGGACTCCGAAAGAATAATTTTAAAATGTTTATTATATTACAAAGTTTCTAAAAGATGATATTTAAATAAATAAATGTCATTCATGGATCGATGTTTCGAGTCCTTTTCAATTGTGGTCAGAGACAAGAGACTGCTATATCAAGTTGTCACATAACAATTTAATTGTTTAGTCTACTGATATGGTGCCATTAACGCTATCTATTGTGGCGAAATTGGTTTTATAATACTTTTATAAAAAGATTAATTCGTGTCCCCTTATTTTTCAGTATAAACTTAAGAATTATATAATTGCTTAGTTGTCTATTACTTTATAAATTAGTGCACAAGGAGACAACACGTTTGTTAAACGGTGTTTTAAGGCTATTATTTTTTTAGATTTATGAGGCGATTGGAAATATTTTTATGATGTATGATTATGAACACATAATGGTCAATAAATAAATATTGTTGTCATTATCAGTCTAGTGTGTAGTTACCTTTTTGTAGGATTTTTCCTAAATATAAGACTTTACTTATAGCATTATATTCAAAAACATTGATAATACATAGATATACTAAGCGAATGTAGATTACAAAAGATTTATCCGTTAAAAGTTAAGCAACACATGTCAAGGCTAGAACCTTGATGGGGCTGTTTGTAGTAGCCTCGAAACTATCGATCCTAGAGATCTCGCCTCGGAATAGGGGCTTAGAGAGAGCATCTGACGCTGGCCTTGGTCAGGACTTACCATTTCTATCTTAATTATATTATGTAAAAAAAAATTTATTTTATACTTATGCTCTGTCCACGCATAATTTAAAATATACTTCTAATCTGCTTAAAAGTGTATGAGTTTTTTTTTCTAGACGATAGAATTAACTAGTGAATATTGTTCGTACTAATTATAGTATGTATTCTCATACAAGGTATCAGTCTGTGCCAAAATAATAATTTCCTTATACTTAAAGTTATCACGAAAACATTTGGCTGTTTGTGATTTTAGAGTAAGATTCAAAAAATAAGACAGCGCACAAACTATGATTTTCCAATGTCAAAATCCAATGCTTTGACGTCCGGGAGTCAGAATCAACGCGAGCCCGGCGTTGCGTTGGCAGTGCGTTGCTGACCTATTATTGTATTATATGCTATACCAAATAACTAAATAAGG